CCGGGATGAGAGCTGTGAAAGCGCCGAGGCGGGTTGGACCTAGTGCCATAGCGGAGGTCTCCAGGAGGGATGCGAGGGTGCAGTTCAGGGAATCAATGCCGTGGCTAACAGGTCAATGTTGGTTCACAACATAAATGAATGGTGTCGTAATAAGAAACGTACTCGAATAGTTCACCCAGAGGAGACGAAGTACCTGTCCGGCGTGCTTGCTTTCCGTCCACGTTGTCCATGGTCGAATACCTAGCATATCGTTAGAACCAAATGAAAGCGCCAGGGTGTGACCCTCTCACATCCAGATGCCAAAGGCAAAGCTGTAGTAGAGCCATGAGGGCGCCTATTGCTCCGATACATGTGAGCCTCGAGTGTTTTTAGATCGCGTCCGGATATACAACCATACCGGTCCAGTCAATTGCGGATCAACCAATTCCAGCAACAGTACGTTCCCCAGGATGAAGAAGAATCCCAGTAGAGTGACGAGGTTTGGCGCGAGCCACAGCGGGAGGAGTTCAACGAATGCATTCCACTGTTCAACCTGTCAGAGCCAGGCCCAGACATCCCTGCCCTCTGTGTTTCATTCTTTCCTCCTCTTCATCTTCATTGCTCCCACACAATCAAACCGACACGGGAGACGCGTACGTAGTGTTTCAGGATATACCGAGAGATGAAAGACTTGTCGACAGAGGAGTATTTGTAGGATTTGAGCTGGACAAGAGCCTCCTCAGAGACAGATTCATGGGTAGCAGTGCCTGGCGCAGCGTTAGCAAGGAACCTCTAGTCGGCATGGAAGTCCCTGCGAGTTGTGCAGGAGATTCGGTTTGAAACACGGTAGGGACGCATACTCTTCTTCATTGCGGGCACCGAATTATTTGCCAAGGGTAGAATGGGTTCTGTGGGCATCGGAAAGGCGTCACACGGCTAAAGCGACAGAACGCATGTCCGAGACTCCTGCTGCAGATGCAATTAGTTCTTGCAATCTATCCAGGACGGTCAATGATGCTATCCCAGGAACAAAGAAAACAAAACTTCCGCAGGGTCCAATCAAACTGACATGTGAAAAAGGGCAGCAGAGCCTCCTAATGCTTGTCCCGGCTTAACCTACAAATTGGCACATATAGCACATTCGCGTTCACAATACCTACGTAAAGGAGAAGGCAATTATAGAAGGTTGACTTGGAATGCATTTTCATGTATACACATCAAAGCCAGCAACACCGAACTGACTAGACTACCTAGATGCCCGCTTGATGACAGACCACGCACAGCAGCACCCAGATGAAACAACATTGCAGAAGAAAGAAACCCACACTTGCTTTTGGGCTCCCGTTCTTTTACCAGTCTAATGAAGAAAAGCACAAAGTTCGTTAACGCCTCATGCCCCGCCCCATTCCATCCTCTTACCCCACAAGCCATTCCCAGTTTACCTGGTGGACATGGCCTTGGTGACAACGCGCTTGAGAGCGAGCTCCTTCTTCTTGAGCTCCTCGGCGTTGGTGTCCTCGATCTCGAGCTGCGCCATGGCGTCGCTGAGAGCGCTCTCGATCTTCTCCTTCTGGCCGCGCTTCAGCTTCATCGACATGGTTGGGTCGGAAACAATATCCTCGACACGGCTGATGTAAGACTCGAGCTGTTGCCTCGCCTCGAACTTCTTGCTGAAAGCCTCGTCAGAGGTCTTGAACTTGGCGGCGTCGTCAACCATCTTCTCAATCTCGCCGGAGCTGAGCTTGCCAACGGAGTTGGAGATGGTGATGTTGGCACTCCTGCCGCTGGTCTTCTCGGTGGCAGTAACCTTGAGGATACCGTTGACGTCGACCTCGAACACGACCTCAAGGACGGCATCACCAGCCTTCATTGGTGGGATAGGAGCAAGGGTGAACTCTCCGAGAGAGGTGTTGTCCTCGCAGTTCACACGCTCACCCTGAAAGACGGGGAACTAGTTTTTTGTTAGCTGTGTCATTAGAACGAAGGATCTAGGGATTTCATACTTGGACGGTGGATTGATTATCTGCGACGGTGGTGAATGTTCTGGTGTATGGTGTTAGTAGCTGCATGAGATGATTGTCGAAATCCTGCGAGATAGTATGAGATGTAAGAAAAGGTGGGCGTTGATATGTCGGCTAAGTCGAGGGTGAGCTCGACTCGGCCTCGGCCACCCTCTGCAAGTGACGCTGCCCGCGGTCGTGTCTTTCGAAGACATAAAGCTTCTCGAAACCCACGGCGGAGGTGGTGCAGTAGTGTTTCTGGACGACACCTGCCTCCTGCTTGGCAACTCTCTTCGAGCGGGAAGACTCCGACTGCGGAAGAAGCTCATAGCTGGTGGGCTGGCGACTTGTATTACCTTGTAGAGACTGGGAGAGAAAGAAAATGAGACAGTAAAACGTTAGCGTACCTCTTCTTCAAACATGGGACAGTGTTTCCACGGGGAACAACCGGGGCGAAAATATTGCCTTCCATGGCAACTCCAAGGGAAAGGGGAACGACATCGAGGAGAAGGAGGTCGGCGGTGTCGGCGGAGGTGGCCTTGCCGGAAAGGATACCGGCCTGGACGGCGGCACCGTAGGCGACAGCCTCGTCGGGGTTGATGCTCTTCTCAAGCTTCTTACCATCGAAAAAGTCACTGAGCAGCTTCTGGATTCGAGGGATACGAGTGGAGCCACCAACGAGCACAATCTCATCGACCTGGCTCTTGTCGATGTTGGCGTCTTTCAGAACCTGCTCAACGGGCTGGATGGTGCCGTTGAAAGCCTTGGCGTTGATGTCCTCGAAACGAGCACGGGTGATGTTGGCGTTGAAATCCTCTCCATCGAACAAAGAGTCAATCTCAACAGTTGTCTGTGTAGCGTTGGACAGTGTACGCTTGGCACGCTCGCAAGCAGTGCGCAGACGGCGGAGAGCACGGGCATCACCGGACATGTCTAAGTGGGAGTTAGCTTTAGAAAAACATGGAGGAAAAAGCTACTACCCACCCTTCTTGGTCTTACGCTGGAATTCCTTCTTGAAGTGTTCAAGGAGGTTGGTGTCAAAATCTTGTCCACCGAGATGAGTATCACCGGCTGTGGCCTTGACAGTGAAAACACCTCCTTGGATGTTGAGAAGAGACACATCGAAAGTACCTCCACCAAGATCATAGATCAGGACATTACGCTCTTTTTCGGATTTTCCGGAGCCGAGTCCATAGGCGATAGCGGCGGCAGTGGGCTCATTGATGATGCGGAGAACATTTAAACCGGCAATGGCACCTGCGTCCTTCGTCGCCTGACGTTGATTATCGTTGAAATAAGCTGGTACGGTGATGACAGCCTTCTCAACCTTCTTTCCAAGCTTGGTCTCTGCGACTTCTTTCATCTGTAACACTCGTAAGCACCCGTCTTGTCGCGTTGCGTCCGTCGGTAAGAGCTTACCTTGGTAAGAACCATAGAAGAGATTTCCTGGGGAGAAAATGTCTTGGTCTCGTTGAGGTACTCGACCTGAACCATTGGGTTTCCGCCCTGGTCAACTACCTTGAAAGGCCACGACTCAATATCCTTCTTAACGGTCTGGTCGTCGAATCTCCGTCCGATGAGACGCCTGCATGTATGTCAGACCATGTCCCTTCTCCTCCTCGTTCTGGTGTTTCTTACTTGACATCGAAGACGGTGTTGGCCGGGTTCATGGCGGCCTGGTTCTTAGCGGCCTCACCGATCAGACGCTCCTCGGAGGTGAAGGAGACGAAAGATGGGGTGGTGAAGCTACCCTGCTCGTTGGCGACTGAACAGAAATGTTAAGCCCGTATGCGTGGCGAAGATATTGCGATTGGAACGTACTGATCTCGACATTGCTGCCCTCGTAGTTGGCAACGCAAGAGTAGGTGGTGCCTGTGAGCGGTGTGAGCTGAAATTGGTCGTGCTTCGGCGGGCGCACATGTACGCACCAAGATCGATGCCAATGGCACCGTCGTAAACCTCGTCAGACATGGTGATGTGAGTGGTATGGGGTATAAAGGATTAAGGAAAAGAAGGTGAGGATGGGGGATTGTGGATGAGAAGCCGGTCCGCGAACTTTTTAACCACAGTGAGAAGAATTCCTACTGCGGGTGGCACGGGCCTTTTTGCTTAGCGCGCGGCGGCGATTGTGAAGAAGCTCGAAAAGACAGGGTCCGAATGCTCAACCCTCACCCGAACACAGGCAACTTCGTATAACGTCAACTTGTTCGTGTATGTCTTCTACATCACATGGTAACCGTGGTATGAGCATTTCACGACCAGATGCTCAGCTACCAATGCCTGCCCCTAGAGCGTATTAGAAATCGCATGCAATCCTCACTACGCATGCACGAGTCTATACCTATCTTGTTCGCTCTCCAGCATCGTCTGCTGTGGTTGCCCTGCTTCAGATGGCGAGGACCCAGTCAATCGTTTCGTGTCTTGAGAGCCCACGCTGCAACCTGCTTATGGGATGGAATGACTTCTCTCAAAACAGGAGACTGAACACGTATATGCCTTCTTTCTATATTACGCTTTCAGTTCGTCTCTTCTGAGTAGTCTACACACATATGTATTGCTACACTACAAACCTTTCGAGACATCTGCCTTGCCAGCACAGTGTGAATCTGCGATGGAGAGTTCCTGCTGTGCGCAGACAAGATCAATCCTATCACACAGCTTGATCGCACGCCAGATTACTCTTCCAAGTCTTGCCGGCCTCGGATGCTCCGTCCCTGACGATGTCACTGATCGTCGTCGCAAAGCCCAGAAGTCACGAGTCTTTCGTCCTTGCAGTCAATGAAAAGTCCATCAATCACCGGCGCCAGGCCCGCCTCTACCAAACCCGAAAACGGAAGGCTTCGGGGCCTCGGAATCCTACACTGATTGCTTCTCTGTGGTGTAATGCCTGAGTACCAAACTCGTCTCTCGGGTCGAACCATGAATTCGTCAATCACAAACAAAGAGGTGGTTGTTCCGAAGCCTGCCACTCTCCCCGTTCTCGTTGTGATAGCAGATGAGTGTCCTAGGAGCAAAGTACATCTCTCTCGGGTGGGCTCGAACCACCAACCTCTCGATTGCACTGCAGTGAGATAACAGTCGAACGCGCTAGCCAATTGCGCCACGAGAGACGTTAATATCAATATTTACATATGACTAATATATACTCAAATATCTAGCAAGACAAAAAACCCGGCCCAAGGTACCTTGGTGACCTTCGAACGCAATCCGGCAGCGTCCACTTCCACAGGTAGAATCCTCACTAGCACCATTGCCGTTGTTGAGGGTTTGCCGGGCTTGCTACTATCTCGAAACGAACTGCGTAGTCCTCCATATTTCGCATCGAGAACACAAGCAAACCATGTCTCACCTAGATGTTTCTGTACAGAGATGGATGCAGTGTTATTGTTGCGTGTCTTTTACCAGAACCAGGGATTCATGGGGCTTTCGAACCTTGACGTCCGGTCAGTACGAACGGTTAAGATGCAAGCGCCGGAAGTCATGTATAGCAGGCAAGTGTTGGATCTTTGAATTGAGCCGGTTCCAACACAATAGTATGACGGCCTCGTTGTATACAGCAGCAGAGCGGAATAGCCGCAGCTCGCACGAGTTTCCTGATCCAGGCAGAGAGTCGGATGTACAGTCTCCCGGATGACCTATTGTTTGGATCGGCCGCGCCACGAGGTGTCAAGTATGCCAGCCAATGACAAGCGCAGACGTCGGATCGAGGCAACATCTTGGCACCAACGCGTTTCCGCATTCGGCCTCGCTTAGAGCAGATGCCCAGTGAATGCCGCGGTTCCGCATGGAAAATGGCAAGAAGCCAAGAACGAATCTATTGCATTGCATCGTTAAGCGATGATGGAGGATCTGTTCGTGGACCTGACGATGGGAAGGCGAGGACCCATCTTTTACTGCGCTCAATATAATCTCCGTCGCCTGCCTTCCTGTTGTCCGTCTTTTCTCCGTCGAGTCTCTGCCTGAGTCGTGGACCGCCGCCCGTTTCACGACAGTCTTTACAGGACAACAAGAACAACCCAGTTCACTCTTTGTGTCCCTTCTCGCCCACCAACGGCCGGTACTTCTACACAGCGAGGCTTTATATACCGCCGTCATGGCGTCCATTCTGTTCCAGCGCTCGTATCAGAGCGTCCACGACTTCCGCTCACAATGTACCAAGGACACATGCCCGATGGATCTCTCATACTGGTCCTACCTACCTTCCTTGGCCGCAAATGGCCTCTTCCTGGGCCTCTTCTCGCTCTCGCTCGCCCTCTTCATCGTTCAAAGTATCTTCAGCAAGCGATTCCTCGGGTTCACAATTGCCATGGTTAGCGGGTGCATACTAGAAATCATTGGATACATTGGGCGGGTCATGAGCTGGTACAACCCATTCTCAGAGGTAAGTTATTCGATAGGCGAGGGTATGTCACACAGTATCATCTGACAGTGATATCACAGAACGGCTTCCTGATCCAGATCGTCTGTCTCACCATCGCTCCTGCCTTCCTCGCTGCGGGTATCTACCTCACACTCGCACGCATCGTCCTGACCTTCGGCGTCGAAAACTCCCGCATCAAGGCAAAGTCCTACCCGCGCATCTTCATCCCCTGCGACGTCATCTCTCTCCTCCTCCAAGCCGCCGGCGGTGGAATCGCCAGTGCCGCAAGCCACCAGAACAAGAACCCAGACGTCGGCGACAATATCATGGTTGCCGGACTGGCCTTCCAAGTCCTCACCCTCCTCATCTTCATGTGCCTGGCTGCCGACTTCGCATACCGCACCATGACACGCTACAAGCGACTCGGCGCCGACAGTGCCTTTGATCAATCGCACGATGCACTCCGCCGCTCAAAGCGCTTCCGCGGCTTCCTCATCGCCCTCTCCTTCGCCACCATCTGCATCTTCACCCGTTCCGTCTACCGTGTTGCCGAGCTCAGCGAGGGCTGGAACGGCCACCTGATCAAGACGCAAAAGTACTTCATCGGTCTCGAGGGCGCTATTGTCAGCGCTGCCGTCCTGGCCCTCAACCTCTTCCACCCCGGTTTCTGCTTCCGTGAGGGAGACACGGTCAGGAAGGCGTTCGGCTTCGGAAGAGGGCCAATGCGCAGGGTGCTCCGAATGAGAAGGTGGCCGAGACGGATGGAAGTGAGGGCGAGACACCTGTTATGAGGCAGGTAGGGGAGATGTAGAGGGCAAATTACTTTTTCTTTTTGCATAGATGGTGGCATAGATCTCTTTCGGTATACATGACGACTTACGAATCTTCAGGTTCAGATGTTTGATTGTTTCTTGCGTGTGTGACTACTAACCCTTACTTGTTCCTCAACGGCTATTCACAGTCGCTGCCCTGTTAGTCTGTTGGTCTCTCCAGGAGTGCAGATCGAACCGAATGTTTCTTTTGTTGATGGTTGACCTTTGCATACCTTGCATTATGATAGTGCGCTGTTCGCAATGAGGTAGTAATATATGTGACCGTTCCATTGGGCGCAATGTAAGTGGGATCGCGCTATTTTTTACTGCCTTAGTTAGTGCTTTCGATTGACGTGTTCTTGGGCAGAGACGGTCACCACTCGACTGTATATTTGTTCTCGTATACAAGATATACATTGAAGAGCGATGTCCCTCTGCTGCCAATGCGGTTCGATTCTTTGACCACCCTTCCCGAGCGAAGAAGTACGGTCTGTAAAACGCGATTTCTACATCATATAGAATGGGAAAGCAGCTGGGCGTTGCGGATGCTTGCCTTGTGCAGGGTGGCAAGGCTATGGGTGCCGCTTATAGTTAAATCTTCGCTTTCATATCCGCTCCGCGTTTCCGTCCATCTGCGTCGAACTCGACGACTCTGCCCGTCCGCAAGCTTTCCTGCAACGCCTCACAGATCTCCATTCCCTTGACCGCCGTTGCCAATTCGTAAGGCATCTTCTTCCCACCCAACACACAGCCCGCCCACACTCGCAGCTCCTCGACAAACGCATACTCGTACCTACCGTAGAAATCGTCCATCACGTCATGTCGTATTCCCCCTCGTCAGCAACCTCAACCTGGTCCTTGCGGGGCGTGAGGTTGATCTTCAACGACCCGTTGGTCCCGATGATTTCCGTGCTGTTGTCAAACCCATGCTTCATGGTCCTACTCACGTAGAAATAGCTGATCCGCTTCGGCACTCCTTTCGTCTGGTCGGGATACCATTCCACGACGCCCACCGCATTGTCAAAATCATTGATCTCCTCAAGCTCGGGATGCAGAGTCACGGTCCCCGTGGCCCAGACCTTCGCCGGACGTGCATCAGCTCCGAAGAAAGAGAGCGTGAGATCTACATCGTGGATAGTCGTGTCGATGAAGATACCGGGATTCGCCATCACGTAGCGCATGTAAAAGGGGCTCCGATCGTACATATCGCACGTCTGCGACCTTATGACGACTGGCATTCCTACTTTGCCTTCCTGGACAGCTGCAAGGGCGCGCTGGTAGCTCGTATCAAAGCGCCGCGAATACGCGGTCATGATGCTGCATTCCGGGTGCTTAGCTGCCAGTTCCACGATCGAGCGCGCCTCGGTGCTGTTCATGGCGAGGGGTTTCTCGCATAGTACGTGCAGTCCGCGGGAGAGACAGAGGCGGATGTGTTCTGCGTGCAGCTTTGTTGTCGAGGCGATGATGACGGCTTCGAGGTCGGGGTGAGAGACCATCTCGGCTGCGCTTGTGTAGGTGGCCACACCGTAGGGTGCGAGGTGAGTTGAAGCCCATTGGATGTCGTCTGGGGTCGGAGAACAGGCGCAGATGAGTTTGAGTTGGGAGAAGGCGCGGAGACAGTTGAGGGCCTGCTGACGGCCTATGCGGCCGATGCCCAGGACGCCGACGCGGAGGAGGCGAGGTGCAGAGGTCGGAGCAGCCATGGAAGACATAGAGTTGATGGGGAAGGGAGACAGAAAAGTCGATTGATATATGATTTGTAACGTATACCCACTTGTTGCATGCAGTTACACCTGCATCATCTTAGGGCCAGTGATACCTATCATGTACACATACACCCAGGTCTCAAATCGGCCACGTTCCATTGGGCAAAGGGTCAAAGCCATTGGATCTGCATGTGTCCTAGACTATGTAGGTCTGGTGTGGTGCATTGAGGGTAGTGAGGTTGCTATCGGTACAACTTTCTAGAATGAACAGATGAGGAAAGTACAGCCGCAGCCGCTGGCGCTGACGCCCGTCAATCAATGCAGCCTACCATCTCCATCAACCATGAAGAAAGCCATACCGTTAACACATAACCCACATTCAAGCACGGCCATCTAGTTTGTGCTCGCATGGACCTCAAAGGTCTTAGCTCGTCAGCACCGGACTATTTAGGAGTGCCTAACATCCCATGGGAATGGTCCTGCGGGAATGCCAGACACCATTGGATCCGCGATTCTGCCATGCGAGACTTCAAAAACCTCATAAAGTGGGGTTACCCTTTTATCGATGAGACTTGTCGTTGTTACCCGCCTGAATGCGAAGTATGCTGTGCGGTCAATCCCGAGATAGAAGGGAAATATCACGAGTTGTTCGGCGGAGAAGTCTCGGTACCGTGCACGAAATCAGTGACACAGTGTCTTGGACGTGATTATGCGGGTTGGGACGATGTACCTCCCTGTTCGTGCAATAAGACGTTGCCAGTGCAGCAGGAATCGAAGCGTGTTGATGTTGAAGGTGCTGCAGACCTAGTCTCCGGAGACCGACCGTCATCCTCAAGTCTTTGTTCAGATTGCAGCAAGATCAGCTTCCAGGGAGCCAATGACGGACGATTATTCTTTTGCAAGCCGCAACCGGGTTGCGATCTTTGCACTCTGGTCAAAGAAGCAATCATCGCTGAACCGGCGCTTCACCGCTTCCGCGGTGACGACCTATTCGCATTCGATGTAGTCATGACATCTGATCAACCATATGTATATCTATATACAAGAAGGCTCTTTGACTGCAAATGGGGGAACCGCTTCTGGTTTCATTGTTCCACGAGCGATGGCAAGTCCCCGGTCATGAGAACAGTTTGAAGGCATGAGAGGACTAACGGAAGAAAGGCGACCCTCTTCCCGGTGGAAAGGTTAGTTATCGACCTCCCATAAAGGATACTGGTTCTGCAGCTGCATTC